CAGGCTCAATACAATTACAGGATAAAAGGATACTTCACCATGAAATCCGATAATGATTTGACCTGGAAGTGGATGAAAGCAGGGAGAACGGAAAGCTAAAGGTCAAACAAGAGAAAAACACACAAATTTTCCCCACTGACAGATGCTACAACAGAGGTGCTGCAAGCAAAAGCCAAGACCTCATCCAAATTCAGTGCTAGGTATGGGGTCCATCGCACCTAACTGCATCCATCTGAATGCTACACGCTTAGCTCAAACCGATGAGCAGTCATCAGCAGAGAGAGCAGAAACTCAAGATATAATACAAGCTGCCCTGCCTTTAACGGGACAAATCGGTCCCTGGAGAGTAGGTCGTTTCCCCCTCTCTCTGCGTTGGGCTGCTCATCCGCAGATACACAGCAGCCACAGCAGACAGTAGCATGGTGTAGGGATGGAAAAGTGTGGATGAAAGAGTGAGGACTTCCAACAAAATCCCTACATTACCTGGCGTGGCAGGGAACAGGACCCGCGACACTGCTGTCCTCGCATCATTAAAATGCCAGCAGGGAGCCTACACCTTACCTTCGCTCGCTGCAGCCGAGGAACCTGCTCCTTAATTGTGAAATGCATTTAAACACGTATGTGATGGGCCACAGTATCAAGGAGAGAAGTGAAGATTTTAGGGCACTACATGATCATTGAGCACAGGCACCACTGTGTGTGCTTTTGGATGCTGAACAACTCAAAAGGAATTGCAACTCCTTGTGGTTTTTTTTATCTATATTTATATATGTATGTATAAAACAAGCAAGCTATTTGAACAAAGTGTTTACATTACTTCTAATTATATTCCCAGCAATAAATTACAACATACAGCCCATTAATTAAACAGTAGTAGCGAAAGTCCAATTTCTTTTGTGCGGCACCCATGCTTCTGCAAAAGGCTAATTTCAAAGCTTCTGCACTCACTGATAACTACTTCTAAAAAGCATTTTCAAGGAGTTAAACTAATTGCATGTATCAAGAAACAAAAGAACTGCCAAGAACTGGCTCTCAGCTAGAGAGGGAAGGGACAATGTGGAGGTGGAAGACCAAGAAGAAAAATCTGCGCTGAGCCTGCGTGACAGGCGAGCTGAAGGGAGCCAGCAGCACTGCAATGTTTGACTTCAGAACATCAGGTAGGAAAAGAAAACATTGTTTAGTCTAATCACAAAAACAGCTGAGGAAAAAAATAACTAACCTGCTTTTAGCGATTCATCTTAAAGCCCAGGGTTAGCAGACAATGTCAGGCTAATCCAGTTTCTCATACTATAATGCACTTAAGTTTCCATCCAGAAAGTCCAAAAGGCAGTTTGTGCTATTTAAGAAAAACATTGTGTGCGTTTAAGCAACACCTAGGTTACATTTAGCAGTGACTCCATCAGCCACAGTTGACTGATCTTTGTTTAAAGTCAAGGATAAACCACCGTGAGACTTGTCTATACCCTGAAGGACTCCCACGGCCAGTTCCTAGGCTCAGGTGGCTCCTGAATTTTGCAGTTCAGGCTCAGATGAGCTTTGGGACTACTTAGTCCTGCTGAGCCTGGAAAGCCCAGGCTGACCATATTGTGAGAATGGGCTCTTTACGCATTCCCATCATTTGAACTATACATTTTTTTAGCTGAAAATGAACCTCCTTGAGCTTGCTGGACCCCCAGATACTCACTAAGGCTGCCACAGCTGCAGTGTCCTACAGCTCTATGTCCCCACTCGCTCCATCTCAATCTTCAACTCCCCCTCATGCCAATGAGGCACATTTTGCAGGTGAAGAATTAAGAGAGACATGTTTAAGTCATATTTGAGGCCTATGATAGAACAGAGAACTGACACCACATCTTGCTAAGCCCTGATTAATGAATGCTCCAGGTTTTCAGCCAGATTTGATGAGCTAATCATTAAGATGTGACAAAAAAAATCAGATCTCACCTCAGGAAAGCTACCAGGAATGGGATTGCATGTTCCCAGACCCCAGGGAATGGCTACAAGAGTTTGCTGTGAACTCTAATGTGTGTTTCCCACCTGAAAAGCAGCAGTTGGGGCACTTCCCTGCCTCCTAAAGACCTCCTCCCACATATGGGCTGCACAAGCAGTGTGAAGGAGCTAGACTATTATCTGTAATGTCCAATGGATTAAAGAAAGTTCTGTTTTCAAGATCAAGTTTATGTATCTCTGGTATTCACACAGGTATTCAATATTCGGGTAGTCAAAAAAAAGACACCCAAATCCAAGACATGCTACAACCCATCATGGGCTAGAACGCAGCTGGAGCCAGCAAACCATCCGCAGCAGCCTCTGTTTCAACTGGAAAGCTCTGATGCTGAAATTGGAAGTCTGCTCAATAAATAAATTACCTCAAATGTGGTGGGAAGCCCTGCTGTCTGGTGGGGCACTTTTCTTCCTCTTCCTGCTCTCCTTTCTGATTCATGGGAGAAATTTTCACAGGCAGGGTTTTATTATGCAAATACCTGCAGGCACTTAATGGGATGGTCTTTATTATGTTATATTTCACAGTTTTGGTCTTAATGACTGCAGCCGCAGTGCTGAGCTTTCTTCTGTAACGTCATGAAGGAACCAGAAGTTTCCTCTCTCTGTACCTGCACGGAGCTCCCAGTGACCCTGGAGCAGAGGTGCAGGGCAGGCTTACAGAGCTCTTGGGAGCAGGAATTCAACCACTGGTGTTGAGCACTTCTATGTAATTTATGCTCTTCTGGGTTGAGATGAAGGTTTCATACAGTAACTTGCCTTTGATGGCCCAGTAAATCTGTCAAACACTGGAGTGTATCAAGTGGCCTGGATTTGAGTCTTTACTCATTGCCGTGTCATCTCCTGTGCTGCTTCATCACAGCGGTTGCTGTTGTGCAGTAATTTTAACTTAGGTGCTCACAACGCTTTAGACACGTGGTTCTGCCCATCCAGCAGTTCTCAGCCTAAACCCCGTGTCATCTGCCAGCACTGACAGCTCTGGTTTGGTGTTGTGATGTTAAAATAGGCTGTTGGAAGGCACGGCCAATGCCAGAGTAATAGACATCACGATGCCAAGACAGAAAATGGTGGAATGACAAGCCAGGGCTGCCTCACTGGGTAAGGGAAGAACACAGCCCATATAGCACAGTGACCAGAATACATGCAATGAGAGGGCAGGTCTTCCCTAAAACACGCAAAGACAGACTGTCGTCCTGCAAATAAAAAGAAACCTCTGTCTGTACCTTAAATGTACCTAACTCAGCATCCGGGCACAGCTGGGATGGGACTGTCTCACCTAACCTCACCCAAATCAATGTTAAACTTCCAGTGTAAGACTTGTCCTCTTGGCAATGGAGAGCGACAGGCAGGACCTACCCCACCGTGTGAGGTGCCATGGGTCTCCTCCTGCAGCACATCTCGACTTCTTTTGAGAGAATGTGGATAATGGCTTCAGCCTAGAAACTTGGTGTTCGGACAGCTTTTAGATACAGTTTTGCCTCAATTTCTAAGCAAATCAGTAGATAAAACCCCTTCAGTACAAATGTGGCTGATCCAGAGAAGGTAACAGGGAAATATTTCCGAGTCTGGCAATGAGCATGGACAAAGAGAAAAGCAAAGCAACAGAAGAGACAGCTTTGTCACAGAGGAGTTTATCCCTGTTTCCACCCATCGCCACTACACACCATGCAAGCACAGTGATGGTAGAGCCCATCATCTGCAACCTCCCTGTCTTGGCTAAATTTCCAATATAGATAGCCACAGCATTTACATGGGAAACGTAAACCAAAGCAGGAGGCTGAAGTCAGATACATCCATCAAATCCTGATGATAAGCACCCAGGGCCTCACTGGATAGAGCTAAAACGCCAGAAGAACAAGTGCTGCTACTCTGTGGCTTTAGGGAGGTCAGGCATGATTTTGGTAATGAAAGAAAACCTAAAAATCACATCGTAATTCTTGATGTGTCATAAGATGGCCATTCCGCTTCCAGACCTAAAAGAAAATTTGTCATATTTTCTCCCTAAAGATTGTAGGGAAGGACATTGTGCTAAGGGACTTGCATGATGAGGTGATGACCGCTAGGCATACAGAAAGAAAAACACAAAGAAAATCATAGGATTTAGGCAAAATACTGAAGTGAGGATATGGGCAGAGATACGAGAAAAACAGACAGGACAAGTTAGTGGGGAACTGGGTAAATTATCCCTGGAGCTGCAGATCCTGAAAGTCCAGCTTAGAGTCTGCCATTGGTTTAACAGATGCCAGCAGCGACAGAGCTAGTGTTGTACCCCGTTTTGTTCCAACTCTGCAGTGATCGAACCAGCAACGTTCCTGTGCTGCTTTCTTCTTAAAACATGGTAAGAGATAAAACTACAGAAGAGGCTGAATTAGTTCATCATCACTAACTTTCAGTATTTGACACATCCACCAATCCTCTAAAAGATATGAGATTTAGAGTGAATCTTGGAATGATGATTTTTAATCTAGAATAAGCTTAAAATTAGGATAAGAAGCTTTTGGGTTGCTCCAAAACTTTTGGAGAGGCAAAAGGACTGCTAGAAAACTAATGCTATGGTAAATCCCAGCCAAGCTGAAACGGTTAACTATCATCCCGTTAAAAACCGCTGTTTGCTTTCTTTACCCAGTTGTTATGTTTTTACTCTGCTGGGTGAAAGAGAAAGAAAATGTTTTAAAATGCTCTGCTTGTGTACGCTCTGCTCTGCTCATTGGCTATTTGCTTTCAGCATTATTTACCTTCATCTGGGAGATTTTTTCAAATTATGCTTTTACTTGCAGCTCTGGCATGATTATGGTAATCCAGAAAATATCTACTCTAAGAGTAGCTGGGAAAATGCACCTTTATATCTGAGGTATTTTTAACAAGAAGCTGGGCCTTATACATTTGAGAGAGAAGCCAACAGACACATTGCACATCCATACTCTGTCCTCTGTCCGTCCAGCCTCTGCCAGGCACCGCCTGCTCCCGGCACGCGCGGTCTCAGCAGAGTAAATCCTCACCTGTGGTCCCCAGCCGTGGCACGGGTACAATATTGCTGTGTGGTTCTCCTGCGGGCCCTGGTCAAGGCAGACGTCTTTCGCCTTGTTGTTTCGAAGCTGTAAGAAATAAGAAGTGCAGAGTTATATGGCCCTGTCTCTTCGGAGACAAGCAATAAACTGATGTGCAGCAATGCCTCTAGCCTCTCTTGCTATAGAAAGAATATACAGTGCTATATCAGTGGGCATAATTAGGCAGAGAAAGGTTTAGTGCGCCATATGTTTTCTTTAAATATAGGGCCTAATGATGACTGCTTTTATGTAATAATCACCATTCAAAGGAGCCAACTTCCCTGAACACAGTTTTCTTTGTGTTCGATCATGTGTGGTGGTAACAAACATATTTTTAGACTGCCGTCAGCATGTTGCTAGGAGCCTGCAATCAATGCAGAATTGCTTGTATTTCATGGAAATCTCAAAGTGCTCAACAAGGCAGGGGAAAAAGTCCAGCTAGCACAAGGAGCTCCTTCGAATCATCGTGGGGATGCAGGAGGAGCTGCAGAGATGGCAAACCAGCTTTCAAGTACTGAAGGACACACTTTGGAGGGAGCATGCAAGTGCTGGGTTCATGCTACAACGCAAAAGGGCTGGTGCCCCCCAGCCACCAGGTCTGTTAACGTAGAGGTGTCCTCTCTCCAGGCTCCCCATGTAGGGCAACTGCCATAATGCCTTTGAAAATACTACTTGGGGGGGGGGGGTGTGTGTGTTAGCTTGAAGGCATTAAGTAACTCATAATAAATCTTTCTTAAAATTAAGGTCCATCTGGGGTGCTTGGGCTGTGCTTCAAGAAGGCTTCTCAAACTGCCACTATTCCATGAGACCTACTGCAACAGAGTATTGTTAGTTCCCATAAATGCCTGTTTTTATATTCCCAGTACAGTCTCAAAGCCAGCAGAGATTGAATTAAGTCTTCTTACTTTATCTCGTCCTTAAGCTGTTGTGACAACGCACTGTATCCTACAGAGACCTTGTAAGGAATTAGGCTGAGTTTAAGTCAAAGGGTTTTATAAAACGACTATGTATTAACAATATACATACTGCTGCTTAATCCATGGAGTCATTGGGTAATATAGATCATTTTCTGTCAATTCAGTAAATGAGGTATTAAAATATTTTACTGTATATGGTCTCCAAGATCAGAAATAAATCCCAAAATAGGTTTTTAGAAGAAACTGTGAATAGATTTATACAAATTTATAAAATTATACACAAATAGTAGGTTTTGATTCACATTCCTCTCCTTTGAGGATATTTCTCATCAGAGACTCACCAGCTATAAATATTACCAGTCTGATCTAAGGGACTGCTCAGCCTTAATTACCTCGCCATAAGCGATGGTGTTGTTGTATCTTCTCATTTCCGGATAAACGTGGTCCAGGTACCACTGGAAATTTTTACACTTCAAGCTCTTCCTTAATGCTTTTCTCTCTGAAACATCCCCAATGTCAATACCTGGGTTCTGAAAAATAAAGACACAGCACATCACTGAACGGATACTCTTAAAAAAAAAAAAATTAAAAAGAGCGTATTTGTCTGATGTTTGGTATCACTTCCAAGCCGCCTGAAAACTGCCAACAGCTGAGTAACTCCAGGCAGAGGCCACGCCAGGGAATTTTAGCATGTGTATCCGAGCTGAAATCATCCTCACAGAAGTCAGAAGGAAGACTTGTGTTTCACAGCCACAGCGAGGAGGAGACGTGTACTTCTCTCATAGGTTTTGAAGGCATCCTTGCAATGGCCACCAGACTGATGCTGGACACATTTTGGTCCTGGGAAGTAATTTAGAAAAGAGAATCTAAATGGAGAAGAAAAGGTTTTGAAGGAAACACGAGAAGTGCAGTGTAACAGAGGTGAGTCTTCCAACCGATTCCCCTGGGCTTTGGTTGGGTTGACGGTTGGACTCGATGATCTTGGAGGTCTCTTCCAACCTTAATGATTCTATGATTCTATGATTCTATGAGTTTGTCCATGGGCACAACGACAAAGTATTTTTAAAATATCTCACCTCCCGTTTAGGTAGTGATGTACAGGACTTCCAGAAGAGATTAACAGTATATGTACATCAGGATTGAAAAGATGCTCACGTGCTGAATCCTGGAAATGCAAACCCCTGTCTGTGGACTGAGAACCAAACCCCTTCCCCTTACACACCAAGGGTGTGTGACCCTACTAAGGGGCAACACAGAGGACAGCACAGTTAAAAGGTATAAAATAAGGCGGGGGGACAAAAAGAAGAAAAAAGAGAAAGGCTTAAGATTCATATATAATAGAGGCAGGTAGCTAAGGATAAAGGATAAAAATTACAGGAGAAGAGAAGTTGAGGCTGAACCTCAGAAAAACCTCTTGACAATTTGGGCAATTACGTGGTGAAGTAGTGACCCTGGAGGCACAGAGGCACCCCACGGCTCGAGCCGATTTAAAAGCAGACAAAGCTACAGTATCTGTCCCCAGAGGACTAATCTTATAGGAGCCAGGAGCAGAGACTGAAGAGAGCCGTCCCCCTTTAACCTTTTACTGCATTACAGAATTTGGGGAACTAATGCAGCAGCCAGGTGAAGGAAACCAAAGGCACATTGCAGCCCCTTTTACTCCTTCCTACAGGTGTCTGCGTTTCTACTCTATTTTAGCTCCTGCTCTTGTCTTTTGCAGTGATCATCAAATACAGCTGGGAAAGCAATTTTCCATTACAACGCTTGTAATGATCTTCTAATGAATTATTCACTCTGCTTTAGAGAAGATACCATTTTAATGCGCGACTGGTAGAAATAGGTAAAAATAAAGATGATTCAGTGTAGACAGGTAGGACAGACTGAAATCTGAGTGGGAGAGATGGGACACAGAGCAAAGCGGGACCACAAACCGGTCAGCACCTGAAATATTCAGTGCATGGGGTTTGGCTTGGTCTTGAATATAGTGGCTACACAAAGTAATTCAGTGTATATCCATAACCCCCCTGCACAATACCACTTGTCAAACAAGGCTTCTCTAAAATTAAATCTCAATTTTACTGGTAAGACCTATATAAAAATCTCAAATTGTTTTTAGGGTAACCCAGATCTGTTTCCCCAGACCCACCCCCAGCGCCGATTCGTGTGATGCTGCCTTTTCCAAGCCGTACAGAACCTGCGGCTTCCCGATGAATTTTAATCCCTTTTTGCCGCGCTCCAAAGCTGCTCCTGAGCAGGAGCATGGTGCCTCACCTCTAAAAAGGATTCAGCCTGAGGATTGGGGCTGAACCTGCAGTAATTTATGATCCCTGCCTATGGGCATTTGGATCTTGCAACCTATTTTTAAGAGACCTGAAATCACTTAGTCCTGCAGGCAACTCTCCGCCTCTCCGAAGGCTTGGAGCGGTGCCCATCACAGCCAGTGCCCTCCTGCAGCTCGTTGGGTAAACAGCATTTCTTTCCATCTCTATTCATCTATTTCTCAATAACGAACTAATCCGCCACCGCCAGGATGACAAACTGGCAGGGCAGGCAGCTCATCGACCCTTCCCAGGTACCTGTTGTTCTCTAATGCAGTACAAAGTTGCAACTACCGTGGCTCTAAATGCCAGTAACTCTCCCCAGATGTAACCTTTCCTCAGAAAGCAGCAGCAGCTCATGTTTTTATGTTTTAATGTTTTTCAAAATGCCCTGAGCACAGTGCTGCCAGCCGGGGATGCTGCTGCAGCAGGATCAGGACCGCAGCAGCTCTCTGCAGGGGTGTGATCTGCAAGGTATGAATATTTCGTGTTTATTTTTAGCACCAAAAGGGTGGCTGTAAATCACTGCTCACATGGGGTCTGGCCACTCCTAGCAACGGTTTTTCCTCGCATTTGAATAGAGCAGCCCAGCGCTTGTGCTTAAGTACACTGCAAGTGGAGTGGGTGTCGGGGGGCTCTGCAGGGCACCCCGAATCCTCATCCTACCCATCACCTGGAGAGCATCACTGCCTCCCCTTCTTCTTCTGGCAGGACCAGAGGCAGGAGATGGGGGGCCTGGCCCAGCTGGGGGTGCTCCCAGCGCACTCCAGGCAGCGTTCAGAGCTGGGAGGCAGGAGATGCTCTTGGGTTTCATGATTAGACATAACCTGCACGGAGACCAGAGCCCAAGCAGCAGCCTTGGACCTACATAAAGTCCTCCTGGAGCCTATAGAGCTTTACACAGAAGTGCAGGGAATCACCTAGAGAGGTCCACGTGCAGGATGTGTCCCCTGGGCATGGTCAGCTTGTCTTGCTGGCAGGACCCCATGGTTTTCCAAAGGTGCACCATGCTGCGACATGGCAGGATTTACATGAAAAATAAGATGTCAGATCTAAGAAAAACTATCCATTTCTGTGCAGAAATAAATATAACCACCAAAGCTTTTTAAAAAGAGTGTTTCTGGAGCACTTGCATGTGGTGCTGCTGGGAGGGGATCTCCTTCTGTGAGCCACCAACCTCCAATCCTTTATCTCTGAACACGGTTTCTATGCGCTGATGGCCTTTACTTTCCCAACGCTGGGAAAGCAAACAGCCCAGGCACCTGGACCACACACCATCCGCAGTGAGCTCTGGGCAGCGACAGCATCTGCGAGCTGGGAAACCCGAGTTGGGCTGCACGCGACATGGACCTGCCCGAGCCGCAGGAAAAAAACTCATGCACTAATGATGCTGATATTAATAATCTTCTGCCAACCGACTTTACAGACAGACTCCATCTGCAGAGCAGTGTAATGACATAAACTCATGCTGTGTAAACACTCAACGGGGAGATAAACACTACAATACAGGTTTAATTTTTAGAAATGAAAATAAAAAGGTTGATGTGAATCACAGGAATCCCTCCAAAGTCTGCAGGTTTTGCAGCATCTTCATAAAAGCCAAGGGAGCTCTGCTGACTTCCACAGCTGGGGATGTAACCCAGAGTATTTAAAGCTCTCCTTCACCTAGGGGCAGTAAATGCTCTACAATTCAAGTTTTTAACCCGATAAAGTGAAGACTTAGGATTAGGGTGCAATGCCCGTACCTCCAGCGGCAGGTTCCACGCAATGTAGACGTGTGATTTGTAGTCGTCCATCCACACCTCAGCCACCCGCAGGGCGTTGCGCTTGGTGTAGAAACCAATGTTGTTGTTGTAGGGCTTCTTCTTGCGCTCGATGTGAGCCACCCTGGAGCAGGGCAGGACCTCCATGCTGCCACCGCACAGCCACACCTGCAACGCAACCGCACAACACCGTCAGCACGGGGCTCTGCCATGATGCAAAGGGTCCGTGTATGAATTAAAGAGAAAAAAGTGGTGGGTTTTGAGGTTTCTATAATATCCTGACGAGCACAGAGCATCACATCATCTAGCTGGCAAGTGGAAACCCATGGCCAGGTTTGGCCTTTGCTCAATGGCAAGACACGCAGGGAGAATTTAACCTGTGCCCAGAGCAAAACACCTGTCGACATTAGAGGATCAGGTCTATATCCAGCACGTGGTATTGACACATTATAAAATGGGGTGCTGAGTTTACAGGGATGTTGCTACAAAATAAAAAGGATTAGTGACTGGAATAGTTGAAACAATTGCAAGATCTCCTCCTGCAGAAGGGATGACTCAGTGAAACATATGGCCGGGACAGATTTCTCCCCCTTGAAAACATTTGTTCATTGTTTTTCTTTCACGTGCTGTCTAAAATTCCCTTAAATCACAGTTTACAAGTTAATAAAATCTTTTGAGATCTTCTTTTTCTCACACAGAAAGGCAGTTCAGAGAAAGACATGCCGTACCTGGGTTCTTCCCTCCCTGTTTGTCCTCACCAAGAAGTTATTTATCTTAAATTAAAGACACGTATCCAGGACACCAGGCAATCATTACAAACACATATGCCGAACAGGCCTAATAAACCCAGTTTCGCCTATTTTGCAGTCTGCTCCGCATGATCATTTTGCACAGCTGTTATAACACCCATCGTTTCTGGGATCTCTTCCAGGCTCACCACCTTTTATCCCATCTGCGTTCCCTAAATTTTACCGACCCTGATCAATCCGCTCTCCCGGCACCACGAGGAGCCTCCTGGTTGTATCAGCTGCCCTTTTTAATCTCTAAGCACTGGGCTGGGCACACCCAACGCGAGGCACGTGCACCTCCCAAGCCCAGGCGACACGAGTAAGGGACAGTACAGCAGGGAGACGTCTTTCCTTGGTGTAATCCTGCTGCTTGTGCTGTTCTCGCTCGGGTTGCTGCAGAATATAGGAGCCCACATCAAAAAATCAGAGCCCCATTTATTAGCTGGTGCATAAACATGTAGCAAAAAAATCCCACCTTACTGCTGTTCTGCCGTTTGACCTTTCTGAACACTTTTAAATACAATTTCATGCCTCCTGAGCGAATTCAGAGTTGATCTCTGAGATGAGGGGCATGCCCATCCCTCCTATCCAGCCTCAACCATGCTCGCCTCTGGCCAGCGAAGTCCACAAGGTCTGCTCGAAGTATTGCAACACGTCACATGCTGGCAAAGCAAGTAAGAAGTGAAGAAGGTAGTTCTAAAGAAAAAAAAAACTTTTTTTAAAGGAGTGTTCCCAAGGCAATAGTTTGACAGAAACCGCCTGTGTTTCTTGCCTGCTCAGTTCTTTAGTTTCTCAATGTCTTGGTGAAACAGGAGCATCGAGCGCTGCCCTCGGGTGCTCCCAAAGCTGCTGGGTTCAACCGCAACGCTGAATAAACCTGCCGGTCCTGGAAGATCCCCAGCACCACCTGTTTTTGTAGTTTTGGGGATTTGTTAGGTTTTGTCCTGATTTGAGATCAGAATAATTATTTTAAAAATGTAAAAATCGTGACGTAATTAAAATGCCATTTTCCAGCAAGCTTGCCTCTAGCAACAAAGGTGCAATATTGTCTTTCCGTGCTTTAGTTAAATAATTCACATGGCTTTATGCTAGACAGCTTTCCTAGATTTCTGGAATATCTGTACAAGCTATCTTGAAATGCACA